TGTTTTAACCAATAGGAGTAAAATTGCCTACATGCTTACAATTAGTTTATGATTTGTGGTTTTGCCCTATAAAAGCTAGCCTGTAAAACTGGAAGGGATCACTCTCACCATAGAGATGGCCCTGATGGGTCAGTTCAATTCTCTATGCTTGGCACAAAATAAAGCTTTGCTTTGTATCAGCCTCGATCCTTTGATCACGAACCTTATCAATGGTGAGCATCAGGAGAAAGTATAACTTTATATATGCCTATCTATCAAGCACCTCATTTGGTTCTGTGGAGTTCGTCAGATTCTACTAGCATGGAGGATTGGATAGATATCTAGCACATCTCAATTTTTCCTAATTTGACCAGGCTGAATTAATGGTTTCCAAAGATGGTTTCTTCTCTTAGAGGACCATTTCTGGGTTCTCAGCTAGAGACTGGTTTAGCTCTCAGAAAACTTTACAGATGCTTCAAACAGTCAGACTCACATATGATAAAAAAAAAAAATTTCCTAAACTAAATGATCAGTGTGGAGATGCATGTTCCAGGTGATAGTGTAACTAAATGGGTGTGTAGGCCCTTGAAATTGCACCTAAGCATTGCTAATAAGTTCCTGTTCCTCTGCTCCAGTTCCCTAAACAAATATTTTCACACTGTGCCTTTGCCTAGACCAGTTCTTCTCCCCCTCACCTCATTCCTACATAACCTTTGGATAGCAGCTGTCAGCTCTCCTAGGAAGTCACCTCTGACTCCCATCATCTAGGTCAGGGCACTGCGTTCCTCCCTCCCTTCCCCCTCCCCCCCCCCCAAGATGCAGACTGCACCACAACTGTCTTGTTTTGTTCTTTTTCTTCCCAGATATAACAGTCAGGACTGTCCTGCTCATCACTGGAGTCCTAGGACCTAGCACAGTACCTGACTAACAATGTATTACAAGTTACAGTTGTCTTCCTGGCTTTTCTAGAAATTTCTAATGATAAACAAATTTATCACCTTTATGGATGATATAAAACAGAAATCACAACTATTTGTTAAAGACTTCAACAGACGTATATGGACAGTCAAATTCTGGAGAGCAATTTAAAACTCTTCAATTAGAGTCAGATCATGTAGTGGATCTCAAAGTGTTGTTTAAATTAATGTTGAGGCATAATTGAAAACAAAATCGGCCAGGTGGTAGCTCATGTCTGTAATCCTAGCTACTAAAAGGCTGAGATATGAGGATCACGATTTGAAGCCAGCCTTGTCTCCAATAAACTACTCCAAACAAACAAACAGAAATAGAGCTAAGGCTCACTAGCTTCCAGCAAAAAAGCCCAGAGATAGTGCCAGGCCACTGAGCTCAAGACCTAGAACAACACAAAGACAAAACCAAATAAAATAAAATGAAAACAGCAATAAAGAACCACAATCACTTTCTAGCCCAGAAAATCTCTACACAAAGGGAGAAAAACAAAGATTTGGTTAAAAAAATTAAATAAGCATCACACCAGAATGTTTAAGTCACAAAGGAGGTTGACAAGCAGATACAAACCCTTCCACACATTCCCACTGTAATTCACCTGGTAATTCTGGTGATCATGTGCTTGCTAACTGTAAAAAGGGAAAAGGAAGCAATTTGCTGAACTTCATGATTTGCAGTTTGGAGCCAGGTGGGACATAGGTGTGTTGCTTTTTTGATGATGAAATTTCATGAGGATGGCTTCTAGGTCTCTGGGAACATTCCTGAGTTCTAAATCTGGAAAAGCTGATTTCACTTTAGACAGCTTTATAGACATTTCAAAGAGACAAGACTCATTTATAATAGAAAGTTTTCTAAAGTAAACATTTCAAGAAGTGGGAGTGTGTCTCTTTCTTTGTACCAGAAGAATTAATTTCCTTACTTCTGGCTTGTCTTTATCCTGACAGTGTTGGCCACAGGCATTTTAATTATGGATGCTGACTCTCAGATTCCTAAATCCTGAGGTCACTTAAGAGGACTGTTGACAGCAAACCCTGTGAAGAGGCTTTGGGAAGGCAAGAGTGAATTTTACTTGAATTAATGGTTATGGGTAGGTTGTATCAGATGTTCCCTTCCATTAATTGCCAATAAATTGAGATACCTAAAATAAAGGCATCATGAGCCTTTGTTTGGCCAAGACAGTCAAATCTCAAATCTCAAGGACTGTGCAGCAGATAGTAAATGTAATATCATTACAAAACAACAACAACAAAAAACAGGAGGGAGCTCATTTGGCTTTAGATTTCATTGTTTAACTTAGCTTATGAAAAGGTGCCCTATTATCTGGCAATCTGGTTGATTACTAAATCCCATAAAGCCCCAAAAGTCAAAGTCAGTAGGTAATTGTGAAATTTCTCCGATGGTCCTAGTTCACTTGGTTCTCTCCTGGGGACTAAATCTGTCTTTTGTCAGTTTCTCAATTTTGGATGCAAATTGGAACCACTTGAAGATATAGCTGAATAGAAAAATGCAGCGAGGAAGACTGCAGCAGAGAGGGGACAGAGGGTGTTGTGACTCCTGAGTTAACAGGAACAGCTGGGGAGTGAGCCCACTTCACTGTTGTGATAGGCCAGAATCTGACAGGCTTGAGACCTTCAGAATTTCTAGGTACTGGGTCAAAATCTACCTATTTATAACTCACATTTGATGCATTTTTTTTCAAAGACAGTCTAATAAATTGGTTTCAAGGTTACTCAGACAAAAACATTTGGGATGCCAACCAGTTTCCCTTGAACATCTTCCTGAAGCAAAATTAGTGGGTTTGATTCCTAGGAGCTCTGGGTGTTCCAGTGACAGACCCTCTTTTGTATTATAGCGAGGATGAGCTGCAGTTTAGCAGGTGTGGCTGTGGCAGTTACAACCACAGCAATGGAAAAATTGAAACTGAACAGGAAGTATAGGGGGCTCTGTGAAAATGCCTAGAGGTGGGGAAAATTATGAATAGATTTTTAGGACTTGTACTCCCCAGATGATAAAGGATGCTGAAAAATAGCTAGTTGAGGCTTGAATTCCAGAAGGTTCTGAAATGATCAGATTACAATCCATGAAAACAACTGGGCTTTGAAAAGCCTGAAGGCCGTTGTCAGAATAATGGGTAAAGGGTGTTGAGTACTGTGTATTTATTGCACATTAAAAATCTAGTTCAGAGATAGGAAGCAGTCTGCGGAGGGGAAACTCAGTCCTGTAAAGAAGGAAATTGCAGGTGAGCCTGAGTGCTTGCTTTCATCTTATAGTGAGTTTATTTTCCTTTATTAGTATTTAGTAAGTAACTGCCATTTCTTACTTGGTTGTTTTTTATTTATTTATTTTCTTTTTTTTTGCTGGTCCTGGAGCTTGAACTCTGGGCCTGGGCACTGTTCTGAGCTCTTCAGCTCAAGGCTAGCACTCTACCACTTGAGCCATAGCAACCACTTCCAGTTTTTTCTGTGTAAGTGGTACTGAGGAATCGAACCCAGGGCCTCATGCATGCAAGGCAAGCACTCTACCACTGAGCCACCTTCCCAGCCCCTATTTTGTTACGTTTTTGATACTGATCCTGGGGTTTGAACTCAGGATCTTGGCATGTTCTGAGCTTTTTGTTCAAGGCTAGCATTCTACCACTTGAGGCACAGCTTCACTTCTGGCTTCTTTTTGGTTGTTAATGGGAGGCAAGTCTCACTTTCCTGCCCAGGCTGATTCTGAACCATGATCCTCAGATCTGAGTACTGCTTCCTTTTTAAAAATTAGTTTAAATGACTATACTAGGGCTCCTTTTCTTTATCCACTTGTCTGCTCTCCCTTCCTCTTCATCAGCCTTTCCTGACATGTTCCAGCTTTCTGGAACTCATTTTATTTGTTAGCAAGTTAGTGGTTCAAAGGAGATCCACATCCCCTCCATTTACCACACATTAGTCAGTGTTTATGTATACATGCACATGACTCTTTCATGTTACTAATCTAATCTCCAGGAAAGAAAAAATATGTCCTGTGCAAGCTTGACTTAACACTTTCTTTTGGTGAATGTAGTGATATTATTTTCCATACTGTCACCCTTGCAATAAAATACTTATCTTTGTTATATATTGTGATTTTTAACCACCCCCTCCCAAAAAACAAAACAAAACCAAATGGCTGAGCACTGGTGGCTTATGCCTGTAATCTTAACTACAAAGAAGCCTGAGATCTGAGGATCATGGTTCCAAGATAGCCCAGCAGGAAAGTCCATAAGACTCATTTCTAGTAAGAAAAAGCTCAAGAGGTAGAGCACTAGCTTCCAGCAAAAAAACCTCAAGGACAGTGCCCAGCCCTGACTTTAAGCCCCAGGATACACACATACACACGAACAACAACAACCAAACAGGTGAGGATCCTTGGAGATCATTCAACAGAGGACAGAAGACCTCCCAATCAGAATATGAACTCAACTATAGATGTAAAACCAGGAAGTCACTGACCAGTGACCCTCTTGCCCTCTGTTCACCCAGGTCTGAAAGCACTGTAGTGTCTTCTCTTTTCTTAGGGTGGAGACAGAAGTCAACTTCAAAAAGAAAAAAAGCAACACAAAATTAGGTATGAGATATTTTCCCCCCATTCTACCTTTGACTTATTAAATGTGGATGCAATTCACTATCAACTATTTGCTCATGGTTTACTGTTTTTGTTTTTTTTTGTAGTATGTATGCAGCAAATGTGGTACATAAAAGGGCATGTAAGAAGCCTTACTATTTACCATAATCTCTTTAAATCACATCCCCTTCAGGTACATAAACTGTCTATGAAGGAGGTCATGAACACTTTAACTTAGTATAAAGACTCCAAATCTGAATTCAAGCTGAATGACTACTTCCTGACTATTCTCTATTCTAGCTGAGTTCAGTGAGATCACGTTGACCATCCAATGACAAACCCATGGACAATTCAAAGGCAGTTACAAATGTTCCCATTTCCAGGCTGTCAATAAAACTTTTGCTTAGAAAGAGCATAAACCCTTTACCTTCTTTGACCCTAAAAGAGAATCACAAAATTTCACACCAAACTTTAATGACCATATAATGATTTTAATGAAGAGAAATCTGCAGCTTCACATTGTAAAGTGACTTGGCTAAAGAGAGTGAATTTAGAAGGGAATACAGCACCATTTCCATGGGCTATTGTTTGAAACTTTATACCATCTCCAGCAGTGAAAATCAAAACCACTCAAGCTGGGTTTTCTGACTAGCTCGCTAACCTGCATATACTTTTAACCTTTTGAAAAAACTGTGGGTGAAAGTAAAAAAATGTTCCCAAGTACCAAATGCACATTCTTTACACACAAATGCATTGCCTAAGTAGGACTTTAAATCTGCATGTGGGATTTTTCCCCTTAAAACATAATAACTGTTCTCGAAGACTAATACATTGACTTAATCGTCTGTCTTCTGTAACACTAAATACAGTACTAACCATATTATTGTAAATTACATGCACATATGAACTATGTATATAAGAATAGTAAAAGTAAGTGTTTTCCAGGTAGTGTCCAGGACCTGGACTTTTTGAACCAAAAGGCACAATCTCCAAGACTGCTATGTAAGCAAATAGTTTCAGAAGGAGGCTGGCTGGCACACGAACCCCAGAAGGCTGACTTTAGGCCTGACCAAGAGGATGTACGACACCATCAAACTCTTTTACGTTCGATCTGATTTTTCAAAGCCGTCAGAAGCAGTGTTCGGAAACGGCAGGAATGTCATTCTGGGTCTTCCAATTTCTTAGAGGTCCCGGTGCTGTCACTTGCTGTGGTTGCAAAGGCACTGGGGTTGACAAGAACAAGGAGCCAAGATTCCCAGCAGGGTCGGACCCAGCCGCTTGGCGCTGGGAAGTTATTGGTGAGTGGGAGCCAAGCAGGCCCCAAATCGTGGAGCGTGCTGGGCCTGCAGCCGGCCCCGGAGCACCGGTATGCGGCCCTGGTATCTTCCTTCACACATTCCTACCAAAGGTCTGCTTTAGGGCGTCCACGAAGGCCTCATACTGAGACAGGATGGGACTCTCCCGCTCGATGAAGGGGACCACCCACTGCTCCGCCGGCCCCGAGAAGCGGCTGATGAGAAAGGCCACCTTCAGGGTGTCGCTGGAGAACCTGGCCTCGAAGAAGCTCATGTAGGCGTGCGCTTGAATCAGGAACTCGGGGAGCCGGGCGGAGTCGCCCTGGAAGGATTCGGGGAAAGCCACGGGGCAGGGCGGGGGCCGCACCTGGGCCAGGAGGTTGGCCTTCTCGCACAGCAGGCGCCGCACTTGGTCCATGAGCTCATTGTTCTCCCTGCGAAGAGCGTGGTTCTGGGTCAGGAGGTCCTGCATCATGCCGGCCAGGGCATCCATTCCAAACGCCCACCGAGAAGCGGCGGCCCCAGCGGCTCCAGGCCCGCCCGCCGACCTCCGGAAACGTGTCACCCCCCGAGGGGGCGGGACCCAGGCCAAGCGTCCAATGCAGACACCGCTACGCGATCCTCCTCTTTTGAGGGCTCCGCCCCTGCCCCGACTCTCCGGAAGTACGCCATTCGGAAGGGGCGGGACCCGGGCAAAGCGTCCAGTCCACGGTCCCCCCCTGGACCCTCCTCCCGCACAGCTTGAGTCGGCCGCGCGGCGTCTCCGGAAGTACGTCACTCTAGGAGGGCGGGACCCTGCCGCCACGTCTTTCTGCGTCTCCGAAACTAGGCCAGTCCTGCGCTGGCGTGCGCTGAGACAGTGTCACGGGAGACAAGCGACTGGAGAAACGGGATCCGAGGGAGGCCGAGGCGGCGAGTTAGGGCTAGACGAGGAAACCTGTGGAGCCAGCGGACGGACGTTTTTGGGAGAGAAGGCCGCGCCTGGCGGAGGCATCCGACTTCGTGGCAGTGACGTCACTTCCGGGGTCTTCCCCCGTGGGCGGGTACCTGGGTGTTTAAAGGGGAAGCGGCTGCGGCGGAGCGTGTCTGCGCGTGTGTCGGCCGGGCCCTCGGGAGTGAAGGCCAGGCAAGCCTCAGGATGGACTGTGCTGGGGACCCCCAGGCCGCACCGCAGCACCGGGAGCCGCCGTTATTATTCAGGGTACTTCTGTGTTCCAGCAGTTTCGATCGTCCGACCCAGTCTTCTTCACCCGAGAAGCCACTGCTGTTCTGGGTCTAAGAAAAAAGCAAATATCATTTCTGAACGAGTAGTACAGTTTTTATGTTGACTCGAGCGATGGGAACTGATCACTACCAGAAGTTTTGTCACTTTCACGAATTGAGTAGATGTTAATTCTGGCTCTTACGTATTGCCTACTTTGTTTTAGTAAGGTATTTTTTGCAATTGCAGCTCATAAATTGTGTCAAAACAGCCTAAGACTCATCTAGATGTATTTCAGTGTCAGTTGTTTAATATGAATGGTGAGGGGGGAAAAAGTCTTGACATCAAAAATGGAGGCGGCCTTTTAGGAGCCTCAATGAAATCTACCCTGTTCGTCTCTGTATTTTTATTTATTTATTTATTTTTACAGATTCCAAGCTGTCTTATAGGACTTTATAGTAAGTTTTTGTATCTGGCAGGACAGGTTCTCTTCTGCCTTACTTGTATTCTTGAGAACTGTCTTTGCTACTTGTTCTTTTATATTTACTTTCTGATTAGCTTGTTGAACCGTAAGCTGAATCATCTTACTCTTCTGGCTTATTTGTTCTCATGCTGTACTAGAGCGGCGCCTTGAGTGCTCAGCTTTTTGATCAAGGCTGGTGATCTACCATTTGAGTTCTACCACTGGCTTTGTGCTGGTTAGAGTTTGGTGAATTTGTCAGCCTTAGCTGGCTTCCGACCTGATCTTCAGATCTCAACCTCCTGAATAGGTAGAAGTGTAGGCATGAGTCAACAACACCCCACAAACTGTCAATTTTGTTGATTTTTTCCTCCCTGAGAACAAACATTGGTTCCATTGATTCTGTTCTTTATTTTGTTTGCTACTCATTTATCTGATTAAATTATTTCTAATGACATACATTGGTAGCACAAGGGAGCCGCATTGTGATAATTCCATAGATGTGTGCTATGTACTTTTAACAGTTTCACCCCTCTGTATTCTGTTTTTCTCTCTTCGAACTCATCCTTTTCTAACTATTTAGTGGGTTTCATATGCTATCTTCATATTTGTGTGTGTGTGTGTGTGTGTGTGTGTGTGTGTGTGTATGTATGTACTATACTCTGATCCTCTTCACCTATATCTTTGTTCCAGTCTATTTTTTCCTCCTGTCTGCTTTGAGTTTAATTTGCTCTTGTTTTTCAAATTTCCTTAGGTATGTTACATATTCATTTATGTCTTCACACTAAACTCATATGCTGAAGCATCTATCCCTAATGTAACTATATTTGAAGGTAAGTTCATTAGTGAGATAGTGGGATGGGGTCCTAGTATACATTTGGTGTCCTTGTTAAGAGAAGAAAAGAAGCTTTGTTCTGTGGGAATGGACACACAGGAAGAAAGTCATGTGTAGATACAGAAGTCTCATATCAACAAGTCAGGAACCACCCCTGATGGCACTTCATCTTGGACTTCTAGACTCTAGAACTGAGAAAACACATTTCTGTTTTTCACCCAGTTTTTGGTATTTTGTTATGCAGCTCTATTAGACAAATATAACATATAAAGTTAGGTGTGGAGGTCCTTCTAATGTAGGCATCTGTTATGCATTTACCTCTGTGAGCAGTTTTCATTGCATTCCATACAGTTTGATTGCAGTTATTTCTCTAAATAAGTTTAATATACTTTATTACAACTTTGTCCCTATCAAACGCAATTGGGTACTGTTATTCTATATATGGTCTCTAAAGCCTGTGTGTGTGGGGTGTGTGTGTGTGTGAGAGAGAGAGAGAGAGAGAGAGAATGTGTGTGTGTATGTGTATGTGTGTGGTGGTCCTGGACCTTGAACTCAAAGCCTGGGCACTGTCCCTGAGATTCTTTTGTTCAAGGATAGGGCTCTACTATTTGAGCCAGAGATCTACTTCTGGCATTTTGGTAATTTATTGAAGATAGTCTTATGGATTTCCCTGCCCAGGCTGGCTTTTAATTGTGCTCTTCAGATCTCAACCTCCTGAATAGCTCAGATTACAGGCATGAGCCACAGGGTCAGCTGAAGCCTTTTTATACATCATAAGGTGGTAGAACTACAAGGACAACAAAAATTATGGTCAGGTTCTGAAAGGATGCAATTTTTGGAGATTAAGTATTCAAGATATATTAGAGTAAACGAGCAGTTGTGACCAAGGATAGTTTAGTGTCAAATAGCTTCCAGTGTCCAGGATGTACTTTTTATCCATTGCTCACTGGGAGATCATTTGCAGTGACTCATTGTGAGTCAGGAAGCACAATGTCCTTTGATGTCACATTAAAAAGACTTGTGAGACTTAAAATACAGGCACTTGATGAGTGAACAATGCCTGGGATTGAAGGAGCATTTTAAAAAGTACACTTTATTACTTTTGGGAGATAGTTCTGCTCATGGAATGTGTGTTATTTGGATGCGGGCGCTACACTAAAGCAATGGCTTCCTTTAATAGTTTGTAACCATTTCTAGTGTGCCAACTAAATCACCAATCTTAGGGATTTATTAGGACCATCAAAAGGATGAGACACATTGAAAGCATTTTAATAGGGACAGTCTCTTTACTGAAGAGATCTTAAATGGTAAATTGTGAAGAGCCATTTGTCAGTTTAAGATGGTATCTGTTGGGTTGGGTAGAGTGCTTGCCTGGCATGTATGAGGGCTTGGGTTCAGAAGTGGCGTTGTGGCTCAAGTGGTAGAGCTGAAGAGCTCGGACAGTGCGCAGGCCCAGAGTTCAAGCCCCAACCCCCGCCCCAACAAAAAAAGATATCATCTGTTACTTAGATTAATTTGGGCTTTTTAGGTAGAATGGTTTTTATTGAATTTTAGTGCTTACATTGTGGGAAACAAAATATTAACGAGTTCATTGAACTCAACCCTTTTTGTGGTGTGTGTGTGTGTGTGTGTGTGTACATGCGTGCGCTCACACACCCATATGCGTGCGCTCACACACCCATATGCGTGCATGTGCACATGCACAAACACAAGCACACTTATCAGAACTTGGTCTTGAATTTAGGGTTTTGCAATCTTGCTTTTCTTTTTCACTCAAAGCTGTTGTTCACCATTTGAGTCACACCTCTACTGTCTGAACTCAAAGTTTGAATAGCAAAGGAAGACAATAATGTGGCTTACTGAATTATCAATTTAACAAGGAAAGGATAAGTAGTCCTTAGAAAGAATCTTAAGACCAACTGTTATAGTTGAGCCTCTGTGTGTGTGTGTGTGTGTGTGTGTATGTGTGTGTGTGTGTGCATGTGTGCATGTGCATGCACGCACGTGTACCAGTTGTGGGGCTTGAACTTAGGGCCTGAGTGCTGTCCCTGACCTTTTTTGCTTAAGACTAGTGCTCTACCACTTGAGGCACAGCTGCACCTTTAGATTTTTGGTGGTTAAGAGGAAATAGAATCTCAAGGAATTTCCTGCCTTAGCTGGCTTCAGACCATGATCTTCAGATCCCAGCCTTCTAAGTAGCTAGGATTATAGATGTAAGCTACTGGTGCTTGGCTCATTAGGCCTTTTACCTTTACCTTTACATCAGCTTCTGCTTTGAAGCTCTGACTATTAGTAGTTAAGTAAAACCCAGCTGCTCAGTAAACTCCCATCTTGGTAGCTTAGCACATTTTCTTCTTCTCCTTCTTTCTCCTCCTCCTCCTTTTTCCCTCCTCCTCCTCCTCCTCCTCCTCCTTCCCTCCTCCTCCTCCTTTCCTTCTCCTCCTCCTTCTTCCCTCCTCCTCCTCCTCCTTCTTCCCTCCTCCTCCTCCTCTTTCTTTCCTCCTCCTCCTCCTCTTTCTTTCCTCCTCCTCCTTCTTCCCTCCTCCTCCTCCTTCTTCCCCCCCCCACCTCTGCTGCCTCCTCCTCTTCCTGCTGCTGCTACTGCTGCTGCTGCTCTTGTGGGGCCTGAACTCTGGCCCTGGGAGCTGTCCCTCAGCTCTTCAGCTCAAGGCTAGCGCTCTACCACTTGAACCTCAGCGCCACTTCTAGCTTTTTTCTTTTTGCTTATGTGGTGCTGAGGAATCGAACCCAGGGCCTCATGCATGCAAGGCAAGCACTCTACCACTGAGCCACCTTCCCAGCCCCACATTTTCTTATAAGTATAAATTCCAGACAATGAGAAGGGGATGTGAGCTCAGCCTTCAAGACTTGGGCTGACTGCTCTCTTTCCATCATCCTGACCTTATAGGAAAGAACATTAAAGGGAGATTAGAGGAGGGTTTTACAGACTAAAGGATGAAAGTCATATACCTTCAACTGAGTATAAGGTTGTTGGCACATGGAATCTGGCCATGTATATCTCCCATCACTAACCTCCCCTTTCCACGTACAAGTCTTCCTGTCTTT